TGCCGAGGGAATTTCAAGCCCCGTACACCTCTCGAATTGCGGAATACACGTTACCTTCTCAAAGGAAATTGATATCTAACGTCATGCGTCTATAAAATCTACTTCTTCAAGCCTAATATAACGTAACTAGTTTTCTAGGTGTTCACTCCATTAAAAATAGTCACGTTGACGCAGTTGATGGCAGTTAATATGTTAAAAAATGTTTCGTTCCCTTTTTATACAATCTAACCTCTACCAAAAATTTGTCCACTTTCAAGAAACCCGTTCTCAAGACCAAAGTGATTTGGAGTCCAGATACGAACGATTGCTCACCCAATTCACCTCAACCCCCTTCGAACCTCTCAGCCACTGGTCAACCACCATGCGCATGTTGTATTTCCGAACGTTCCCGCCGCAAATTTACGCGAGCGTGTACTCGGCAAGGGTTCCACGGCAGGTGGAGGGTATTACAAAACGTATTTCCCCGATCTTCCGGGCGTGAATTTGCGGGTTGCGACTTTTCCCACTGATAAATTGCCCTCGACGAGGGGAGAGGGCGTGGAGATTGCATACGACTCGGCCTGCGTCCCGGGTGTGCAGTAATCACGCTCGAAACCTTGGACATCAGGCGGCCCAAAATGGGGGAAGTATGTTCGTTAAACGGAAGCGCACTGGTTAGGACGCTGGGGACAGATATCAGGAAGCAAAAAGGAAGGATGGGACAGAGATGGTGGATCGGACTGGCTGCTCGAAGAATTCTCTCAGGATGAGACTCGTTAGTCCTTTCACGGCAGAATTACGGCTCACTACCCGAACCCCCTCGGTCACACATCATGGCTAGCAAACGAAACGAATCCAGGTCCACGCCGCCTAGAAGCGTTACCTTCCTTCCGTTCGAATTGCGCCGACCACCCTCCTTGTCGACAGCGCTGTTGGTGCTGCACACCGCCACGAAGCTATCGGAGAATTCTGAGGATGCCGCTGCAACACCTCCTTCCCCCCGTGGATCCCCGTAACGATCCCGTTATCGGAGCTGATACTAATATCTGTCGCATGCCCCCGATTCCGCTCCTCGGCGACGAACGTCACGATCCGACGCCCAACGTGACGCGGATTCGCGTTGCGTGCATTCACCGACGAGCCGGAAACGCGGCCACAGATTCCCGGATGACGAAATCGAGATTGCTAGACAGCGCGTGCCGAGACAAATTGAACGTCTTGGCGGGTGGAGTGGAGATACGAAATACAGTAATTCCTCGATGAATGCACAACTAGTAACGCCGTTATTCCCACCACTGTGGGAGTCACCCTTTTAGAACCAAACAACACAGAGGAAACAGGAGCTAAGCAGAGACTTTGTTTTGGGAAAAACAATTAATCGAACGGCTGAATACCTTTGTGAAATGGCTGTACATATTTTTAACTTCATAGTATAGACTCATGACATAGTATAGAAGACCCTTCTAATACACTGCGACCCTAATACTTTCAGTTCCATTGACCAACATTCTGAGCTCACGTGAACTGTCAACAGGGGAGCGACATCAACCTGCTCCACCCAGCCTTTCCTCCCCACCCAGAAAATCTTCGTAACTTCATCCGTCCGAAACACGGTAGATCGCAGGCAGCAGTTCTCCAGCATGGCGAGAAGCGTTTAAATTAACTGTCAATTCGACTTGGTGGCGCGTCGGAATGAAGCAGACGGGATCGATGGAGGCAATCTTTCCCGCGGAATCAGTCGGTGATATTTTTCGAAAACTCAAATCGCTCCAAGTCGTCCAACAAGGAACTGCGTCCTCGCTCGTACTTTCGTCTGAACCTACGAAGATCTTTCGAGTAGGGAGCGAAGTTCCTGTGTGGAACTTCCGTTAGAAAGTCGTTGGCCCGTTCCCCGACAACTCGACGATTCCCTTCGAGCGACATATTCAATTAGGATATCAAGTTCCTCTCTCGAGTTCACGCGCGCACGCGCGTCGAACCTTGTATCCGGACGAGTTTCGACTCCTCGAAGAAGCAGGAAAGTTCGTCCACTCTTCTAGGGACAAGCACTGGCTGCTAGGGACACGTATCCGAGCACGGAAAATACGAAGGGTGAAACGGGCTCAATTCGATAGGGGTTGGAGGGTTTCATTGGCCGAATGAAAGAGACGGCGGTCCGCCCCGCTGGCGGAGATTTGATTTATATGTTAATCGGCAAGCCTGCTGCCACGGCCTATGCTGGCGTGCGCGCAGCCTGCCGTACCACTCTTTCACTTCGTCGTAACAATCCTCGAAATATGGCGTATAAGTAGACATCCACTGCGACGACGATATTGGTAGGTATTGCGGGAGATGTTCGAACCGTAACGATTTTCTGAGACCCTGGACAACTAGTGTGTGACAGTTCTAGTTTGAATTTCTGGTTGTAGGATACCCAAGGCTTGTATCGTACCAAGGTTTAATTCATAGAGGGGTCTCGTGTATGAAGTTCTTTTGGTAGAGTAGGTATTGTCATGTTTCAATGAATAAAGAATCGCCTACTATCCGTTTGTACCATCCCTTCGGTCGCACCCTGTATAATTAATAAAAAAAAAAAGGAAGTGATCGAAATTCCTTCGTAAACCGAGGATATTTGTGGAAATTCACCTTCCTGTGATTTTCGAATAATCGACGTAATTCTGAACTACCGATCCAAGAATCAATACCGTAACCCCTTCCCAGGTATCTCCGCAAAGTTACGATGGCGAACGTTCAAAAGTATTCCCTCAAAGATCGCGGAGCAGCTCGTCGTCGTCTCTTTGGAATGTTTCCGTGAAGCTTGAGCGGACTACGCGATCGCAAGTTTGGCTTCCTAGCCGTACCTCGTTAAATAATTGCTGAAAGAATTTCTATTAGAGGAGGCCCCGACGGAATAGAGGCCGCGCGGAAGGAAAAAGGAGAAGACGCCGCGTACCGATTGAAAGGCCGAGTCCCGGTCGAAAACTAATTAATTAGCAATGAACGTCGGGAGTGGGGGGAGAGACTGTCGATGGAATTTCTGCCACTAAAACTATGAAACTCGCGCAATTTCTCCGGGACCGTCGTTTTCGGTTATCCACTCGGAGGAAGTGGATGGAGGGGAACCGGATTAAAAGTTTCCGCGGCGCGAAACGTTAGCCGGGAAATTAATCGACCTTCGGAGAAGCACCGCGTCGCGCCTCAGAATTCGAACATTCCGTGAACTCTCGATCGTTTCACGCTGATTTTCTTTCTTCTCAACGATTAGCTATCTAGTCTATTCTAATCCCTAATGGTTAGTTAGAAAGGGAAATCGTATCGGTTCGTAGCTGTCCTAAATCACCCGTGGATTTGCCGCTTATCGACTAATCCCGATTTTTCCAATAGAATAAAATTGCAAGTCTTTGATATCCAGTGGCTATGATAAGCGGTAATAAAAGAGTGGAAAAATCGGTATGAAATTGTTCAGAATGATCAATGTTGGTAGGTAATTACTTCGGTGATTAAGACGATACAATACGTCGTTTACATCGATAATCGTTGACGATTGTAAGATGTGTTTTATCCTGCATTTCGATTTTTCAACGAGTTAAAGATTATTTACAACGGTAAATGAATGGTATATTTAATTAGAGAAATAAAACGTGATAAATGTTACTACTCGCCTGGTAAATTGGTTTCTGAATGCATTAAATATCTGATAACGATAAAGATGCTTATCAACGATCACGATAAAAGGATTAATTGGAAAATCCATGCAAGATGAACGCGACGGATCAATCGGTAAATAATTGATTCAGGGATTAGCCTGATAGGACACCGTTGATCTATAATAGTTGCTGTCCATAATTGCGACACGTGGCCTACTTCGTGTTAAATGAGAATGAATTAGGGTTCTTCGATACGCGATTCTAAGGAAAAGAACACATCAAACAGGAATGGTAACATTTCTATGAGTAACGTACTTTCGCGTGTCACTGGGTACACCTGAATTATAATTAAATTTTATAGCCTGGAATATACAGAGAATACTTCTGACAGATGACGAATGAATAACGTGAAAGTATTCTCCAGGAAGATAAGAGTTCAAAATAGAATTTTCACAAACAAATTTTCTTTCGTCACATTGATAATGTTCCTGATTTCCTTAACAGTAATGAAGAAATGTGTCGATGTGCAAATGTTCTATAGCGAGTTGCGATGATTTATATTTTTATATAAAGAAATTGTTTTGATCGTTCTTGCGAAACCGATCGCAACGTCCGCTTGCTAAATAGATGGAAAGTGATTAATAAAAAATCGTGACTAATCCGAGTCGGACGCAATCGGCCGGGATTCGTTGACAATGGACAAAGCCCCCCGAGAGACAAATTACACAATTGACATTCAGAATTGTTGCAAACTAATGCCTGTTGCCTGGACACGGTTTCGCTTTATTTCATTGAATCCCATGCCGCAACATACGGCGATCGCGGGGCCGATCCATATATTTGCCGACAAAATGTGTAAATCAACGCAGGGCCGATTAACCCTCAAATTCTAACGACCGATCGCGAACAAGCGATCGGTCCCTGGTCGCTAATAATGTGAACAGTGTGTGATCAGTTACAATGTACACTATAAATTCGGTAAAATCAGCCATTCATTTGAAAAGATTAAACTCTTTCTAGATCTTGAATTGCATATTCATCAGGGATTTATATTTTCACCGCAAAATTTTCTCCTTTCGTGCGTTCACAAAATGCATCGAAATGATGAAACGTAAAAAAAAAAAAGAATTTCTTATCGACAGAAGCTTACGGTTATTCAAAATCCTATCGCCTTTACTAGCCCGGTACGACGTGATTTTTATCTCGGGGTATATCGTTGCAATCGCGCCCGCGAAAAAGCTCTGCTATTCTTTTCCTACGAGATCCCCACCGACCCCGTCGACCCCCTCCCGCCCGTAACTACGATATTACGAATGCCTGCACCACGTGCCGCTCATACAAAGCACGGTGCATTGTCATCAGATAAGGATTTTTCGCTGAATCAGAAGAACAAGTTTCCCCTATAAAAGCCGTTCCACGGCGCAACCTTGATACTCTTGCGAAGATGTTCCGAACGTTGCTACTCAGTGTTCTCGTTACTGCAGCCCTCGGTGAGTGAGAATCAAACAGATACGACACGTTTTTCCATTCAATATTCTTATACAACAGCATTAAAGCTTCAATATTAAAGATCGTCAATCCTCGGTCCATTCTTTCGATTCTGGTCCAATGTAGTAAATGGGTGTGAGGTGAATTTGAAAAGAGTTGATTAGATAGTCGTGGTGAACGTTTAATAAGTTTATAAGTGTTTTTACTGTGAAGCTTTTGGATACTACTGTAATATCCTTTCTAGACGGTTGATTTAATGGTTTCGTTACTTTGCTATTATGTTTACAGGCTTCGTGCTAGAGGAGCGCCCACCGATCCCCGATTCCCAGATCGTAGGAGGATCCGCGGTCGATATACGTCAACATCCGTATCAACTCAGCCTGCAAACTACCGGACACATTTGCGGTGCCTCGATCATCAGCAGTAAATGGGCCGTCACTGCGGCTCATTGCGTGGGGTAATAACGCAAATGCGTAAAGTTAACAGCGCTCTGTACACAAAGCGATCATGGACCACTCTGGAATTTCAGATCGAAACGCGGAACTACGAGTTGTCTTCAGCTTTGATCCACTCCCGACAAGATTGACCTTTTCGATCTGAACTTTTATAAGACGATTATATATAAATGTGAATTATTTTAGGGGGTATAGTGAAGATTCATAGAAATAGAAATTTCATGTCGCAAATTCTACCTAGCAGTTGAAAGTAACTTTAACTCTGTTCCCTTTTGACAGGAGCATTTCTTTTAATCTAAAATTGGCACGGTTATATTCGACTGAAATTCTTCAATCTGAATGCCAGTTCACAATCATATTATGTGAAAAATAACATGGTATAATTCACTGAAATTTGTAATAGTGTGGGGAATTTGAGCATTGGTTTTACTTTGATCTATAATTAGTTCTGATATCACGAATTCAGGATGATTTTATTACAAGGGAAGGTAGAACGTCGCATGGTTACCATCGGGATTATTCGAGCAATTTTGATTAACGGATAACGATAATAGTTGCAAAATATGTCGCGATATTAAATCTGATTTGAGAGTCGCATTCCCAATTGTCGAACATTGTACGATGAAAATAAAGCTATCGAATACCGAACGCATATTTCGGGAAGCAAATTGTGTTTTATTGGGTACGGAGCGGTTAGATGCGTCGTTTTGAGGCTAACACGACTCACTCACTGACACTTTGATGTTCTATCGATTACAGATCGGCACCTAGCCGTTACAGTCTACGGGCTGGTAGCAGCAATAAAGATACAGGTACTCGTTACGGCGTAAAGAACATCATCCGCCATCCTCAGTACAACTCGCAGACTATTGATTATGACATTGCGCTTCTGGAGGTAAGTGAAATTTCAGTGTAGATCATTATTTCAAGGTCTATGGATTGCTAACTTTTAATTATAAATTCAAATATTAGGTAATTACAATTTAAGCTTATCTACTAGTAATTTTTAATTTCAATTCAAGCTTATGTACTGATAATTTTTTATTAAAGATTAATAATCACTGACAGATAAATTATTTTGGAAATAGACTTTGAATAATAAATCAACTACAGTCCGATTCACTGCAAATCGATTAACTACAATTCATTTGACTATAATCCAATTGTCTATCCAAGATCATATTTCCTACTACGAATCATAAGTTCTATTTGTGCACATTGTTAGCTTGTTCCTTTGTTTGAATTATTAAAAGCAGCTAATGGTAGGTTTCTCAGAAAATGTGATTGAGTAATCAAATAGTAGGGAAATAGCTATACATCCGGGAAGTCTCGAGCATCCGGTTGTTCCAATTCCACTTGAATTAGTTAGATCCAACAATTAACGTTTAATAACGTCTAAGAGTAACACGCCGGAAACGATCTATTTCAGATCGATGGTGAAATCAAATTCAGCCCGACCGTGCAGCCCGTGAAACTGACTTCCGCGGAACCGTCGACCAACAAACTCGTGGACATTACTGGCTGGGGAGCACTCCGGGTAAGTTGCTTAACTATTTTAAGATTCAAGTTTCGTTGCTACTTTCACGCCTGTCAATTACAATTTTAGACCGCTTTACCGTGCCGTGAAATTCACACCAAGAAAATATTAGCATAGTAAAAAGCAAACAGCCATTTTATTACTACTATATTAAAACTTTAAAGTTCTCTTCGATTCTTTTAATATTATAACAAAACCTAGACCTTTCAAATTTCAAGCTAATGCAATAATTAAACTTTAACTCCGACGTACCTGACTAATCTAACAACCAGTAGATATACAAGTACAGGTCCAAAGCTCATCCAGCTCCATCGATCGAACTATTGAAATTATTTCGATCGAATAGAAATCTAATATTCCTCCCACCATGTTAAGAGTACAGAAAAATAAAGGGAAAGTATTACTATGAAAGTATACTATGAAAGTAGCCTTTGTCCTACCCTAGAGGACAAGAAATTGGATTCCAGCCCCCACTACCCCAGAGAAAAAATATAATATTACGAAATTTACCTTAAGATAAATCCCCCCCCTCGATTGATAAGCTAGCTACGCCCATGTTACTCGCCGAAACGTTAAAAGATGTTATTACGATTGCAACCGTGAAGATCCTAAACCATTTGCAACTACCCGCGGAGTCATATTTCATCGTCTAGCAAGCTAGACTCTAGCGTGTCTAAACGGTCTCAAGATGGTCCAGTAGCAGCCGCGTAATCTATTTTGCATAAAGGATCCATTTCTCAAAGAAGCTCGTTTACGCGCGTTTCAGGAGGGCGGATCGACTTCCTCGCAACTGATGAAGGTGTCGGTCCCGATCGTGGCCCGAAACAAGTGTCAAGAGCATTACAGCCGTTACGGCACGATCACCACCCGTATGATATGCGCCGGATACGTCCAGGGTGGCAAGGACTCCTGCCAAGGTGACTCTGGCGGCCCTTTGACGTCCGCCGGTGTTCTTTACGGTATCGTTTCATGGGGCTTAGGATGCGCTCAGCCGAATTATCCCGGTGTTTACACGAACGTGGCCTCGTTGCGAAGCTGGATCTCGCAGAACGCCCGCGTTTGAATCGAACAAAAGAAACAGAAAGGACAATGAACGTGTACCGCGACGACTTTTTCTATCGAACTCCTTTGGGGCTGTAAGGCCCTAGATTATAACCAGTCATGGGACACGTTCATTTGGACTATCATTAATATTGGACGATTGTTAATTCAAATTGGATCGCAATTTGGATTTTATTATTCACGTTTTACGATTATTGCGCGTATTTAGTTAATTTTGACCCGCCCTTTAGGTTGTAGAATAATTGATTTTGTCAGGTATAAAATGTTTTAAAAACGACTGCCGCCTGATGCGGTGCTATTTTGGAATGTTTAATGTTTTGTGAAAGCTTGTAAATATGTGGGTTAAATAAAAAATATCAGTATCGAATGATTTATCATACAATGTGTGAAAACCTGTTTTCCTATGACAATGTTACTGTTATTGAAGAATTTTAACAAGGTTGCACGATCCCATTCACTTTGCCAAAGTAATTAACTTCACAAGGTTTATATTTCTAATTTATCTTTAAATTTTGAAATGTGAAACACCAATCGAGTGCTTTGGCACTAGAAATTGGAGGAATTCAAAAAGTGGGGTTAGTTAGTTGCTTGAAGTTTTGAGGAATTTGAATCGAAGTAAATGGTAAGGTCCAAACATTTTCGAGAGCAATTGTGAGGAGAAGATTAGACATGACGTGGCCGTTTAACGACAGATCGACAGCCAGGGCAGTTTGTTTAATCGTCATACGTTTCCTTCGTCCATCTGGCCACCACCCCGGAAAGTCCTCGAAACTTTACCCGATAGTTTACACGGTAGGACACTTCGATCGAGATCGCAGTTTCACTGAAGAAAGTTTTTAGGTCGTCTGTCTTCGCTTGTCAAACACGTAATTTGAAAATATTTTGACGAAATATGTTGTTATTCTATAAACAATGGATACTGCGTTGACTTAAATATTTACATTACTGACATTTACTCTTTGTACCCATGAAAGCTTCGCCATATTTGTCCTTCTGTGTGTGTTTATCATTAAATACAGGGCAGTCGTTGTCGATTGTAAAGCCAAACATTTTTAACAATACGAAAACAAAGGAGTCACTCACTTTCTGATAGAAAACCGAGTGTTTGACAAATGATAGGGAAGTGATACACCTTGAAACTCTGTGAAATTGATATAGTATAGAATTTATTGAATTAATTTGTATAGCTCCTTAGTGTTATCACCGAAAATTCTGAAGTAATTACGAAGAATTCCTCCAATTTCACACCCATTAAAATATCATTTGATTCAACTTTGCAGATAACTAAGTTCTCCGAACACTCCTATAAATTGTTGATCAACGGGGCACCGTGAACAGCGACCCCTCGAGAACGCGTAAAGTACACTCAGACACACACAATGTATACAAGGAATACGTTTCACCAAATGCGCTACGTCGATTAATTTTAAATCGCTTCGAACTCGAACGGGCGACTAATCTTGACACGACTGTTCCATTATCTCGGGATCCCCGATACGATATCGATAATCACGATCTGCCTTGGACACGCTCGCCACGGCGGAAAGAAAAACTTTTTCACACGACGCGGACCTTTTCCCACCGTTCCCTCCACTGCACACGGATAAAAGTAATGGATTACCAGTAATCGTTTGAAGTTCACGCGACAAGACGCCTTGTGGCTAGCGACTAATGACCGATAACAGACGATTCATCGCCGAAAAATTTCACCCCACGCGGCATCGACGAATCACGACCCAGTTCCCAGCCCTAATAATTCGACGGTTCGAACGCCGATCGCCGTCAATCCACGTCGAAATGTCTAAGAAAATGCTGTTCCTGTTCTGCATCCTCCTCGGAGCAGGTGAGTCGGATAATCGTGTCCCCGCGACGGGATCCAATTCCGTGTGTACAATTTTCATGGAAATATTCTTAACTCTCTGTGCGCAGTGCTCGCGTCTGAGAATAGCAGGTACGTGAACATCGCGGACTATCCTTACCACGTAAGTCTATAATAGATTTTATTCTTCGTCTGACAACGTTCACTTTAGTATAATGTTGAGACAATGGAATCGAAGATGCAATATAATATTCCTTCAATCATGTCTTGTATATTTAATATACAAGTGTCGTAGCTTTTGACACTTGGTGGAACACTAGGATGTATCTTTAATTTCTTGATTGGATCTTCTCGAGTAACTTTCTTCACATTGGTAGCACACACACAAATAAGAATACGCGTATGAATTTAATTATTAAAGCACAATACGATCTTCAATCTGTACTATATAATAAATATCAGTTTTGTTATTAACGATGTATTAAATAACGGACATAATCCAGGCGAACAGAGTTATGGGTCACCTTGTATACACACTGCACCGATTTTCCACATTATCCACAAACCAATCACACCCATACCACCGCCAACGCCATAATGTACGAAATATTTCGCCCAACCGTTCACCACCAAAATTTACACTCACTGCGCCACCTTTCCGCGAACCCACTAACGTTCCATACACATACCCCGACTCGGAATTTTAATTTCCGTATACCGAAATAACCTATCCCAAAAATACCGAAACAATGTTTACAAAAGTACCGCGACAAATTAGACCCCTGTTATCGCGTACCCAGCCACGCGATCAAATCACCAACCGTCGATGTGTTCTGTGTACGCAGGTAGCCGTCGAGAAATATGGGAATCACCTGTGCAGCGGGGCGCTGATACACGAGTCCTGGGTCATAACTGCGGCGTCCTGCGTTTTCGGGCGAGTATATATACACATATACATAGAGGATGTCCCAAAAAGAGAGGACAAACCGTAACATGCATATCCCTCGTGCAAATACAAATCAAAAAGTCCTTTACCGTTTTGTAATCTGAAGTTCCATTTTCAAGATATTCGCAGTTAAACGAACTGCAGTCAGCTGAGTATACAATACAAGGTAGCGAATGTAGGAGAGAACGTAATTGTTTACAGGGCCGACGTATCCACGATATCCGTACGAGCTCGAACAGACACGTTGGCCGCCAATGGAACCGAACTGGAAGTGTACAGCGTCGTTGTGCACGATGCTGAATGACATAGCGCTAATAAAGGTAGGTACGCCGCGGGCTTTTAAAGGGCTAAAAGCACATTCGTTTCAAACCCCGTCACCGACCACGAACGAACGTTTATCACCCGCGTTGTACACGGACGGAAAATTTTATTATAGTTTTCATAGTGTCGATATACGTGGGAGCAGACCTCGCGAGAGACGATTATTGTGGATTGTAATTTCAACGAAATTTTCAAAGGTTTAAATCACCGATCATTGGTTATTAAAAAATTATTATCACAGAAATATTGGAAAACGTACCGTAATTTTCCTAGAAATCTAAATCGTACAGACCAGGCGTCCTAATACTTGTGAGCAGTAGTGTACAGTATTTTGCAAGGGACGTATTAATGGGGACCAGCCTCGAAATTATTAATAATTCATTACGCCAAGGGACCGTTCCCATCTGACACGGGTAAAAAAAATTTAATAAACGCTGGACAGTGATATATTATTGTTGGATTAAACGTAGCGTGTATCGGCACGCGACAGTATGTAATTATCGAGTTGATTATGACGCGAGAAATGAATGGCTAATGGAAGTTTTTCAGGTAATTATTATCCCGTGTCAGATTTGTCGGAGATAATATAATTTCTGTCACGATACGAACAATTTAGGTAGATTTTTTAATGGGAACACAGAACCGGGAGTTGGCATGTGACATCTATTAAAGGCAGAGTAATCAGACAGTAACACGATTTCTTTGAATTCAGTTGAAAATTCCTGTTCAATTTGGGGAGAAATTGCTACCAATTGGGCTACCAGAAGTGGACGGTTGTGAAGACGAAGATGGGACGATTGGCTTCGTGACCGGCTGGAAACATAACCTCGTGAGTAATATTTCGAATGTTGGAAATATATAATGGATTTATCGTTTTATCTAAAATCTGACGATAGCTATCGAAGCCATTAACATTCTCCAGTTTTTTCTCCATTTGTCACAGTATGATCACCGATACTTTTTTTCATAAAATCGAAAAGATATCGTCAGGGGGGTGGTACATGGCCAATAACGTATCGCGGTAGAAAATTATTTTCAAACTGTCCATTTTCTACCCAACGATAATTATCTTTCTGTGTCATCGAGCGGGCATTAAAGCGCAAGCTCGTTCACTAAATATTCACTTTCACGGGATATCTGATTCAATTTCGGTGCAGATATGAAACCCGTAGTACCGGGACACCGTAAAGCGACCGTTCACCTTTCACGGATGGGTATTTGCAATTGCGTAAAAAATCCACATGAAATTCCTATCTCGTGCGGAAATAGTGAATTAAATAAAAATCCCTGTGGATACTGAACACGCCTTCATTGCCTTGAATATGAATTCATTCTTTCGCTAGGGGAAAGAGTTGGTACATGGGTAGGCGTCCTACCACTTGGTATCGGGAATTACTGATATTTATGCTAAATTAACATTCAATTTAACCTTTATTTTAGTATTTAAAGTAAATTTACCAAGTGGTAGGAGGCCCTTACCCCTATACGCCGCTTTTTCCCCTGGCGGAAGCCGAGTTTGCTCGTGAGGGTACATCGAACACGTTTGAGGGGTTAATATAAGTTTAACATTATGATCCAGTAAATCTCACGAAATGTCAAACAAACGATATGATGTTTCTTAGAATGGCCCAAAGGAATCGCAGCTAACAGTGATAGAGGTGCCAATAGTGGAGCAGAATACCTGCGAAGCGACGATGCCCTGCTACGAGCCAGTGTTCCAGAAAATGCTTTGCGCCGGTAACATGACCCTCGGGGTGGAGACGTGTCAGGTAAGATGAAGACAAGGGAATGTTACCGTCGGGGGTGGGAGGACGGGGCTGTGTGCATTCGCGACCCGCGACAACCCTCCGACACCTAAGATCCCGAAGCGTCTGCTAAGGAGATCCCTCGACCTCATCGCGCGTGACGCCACTGGAGGGAGATTCTTGGTATCTGTGTGCCTGTGTGACTATGTATGTATATTCAGCGCGGTTTGAAGCTTGGGTACGGTTGCTTATGGGCTCCGATGTCAGATGCAACCGTTTCGCAAACAATGAGGGTCCTGACACCCAAAAACGCGGCGCTAATGTATCTGACGTGCGCCCGTACACGAGAAGTTCCCTGTTTCGGTGAAACGTTGATTAAGAAGAGAGACGATTCCGTCCAGTGCTTATCCGTTAGAAGCAGAGAATGTTTGGCGTGAATTAAATGTTGATTCTACTCGTGGAAACAGATGGTGTCTTCTTTTCGACGACAAGCAAGAAGAGTTACAGTTATAGATATACACTGCGTAGGCATAACTATAAAACCACCCTAAAATTTTCAATCCTTATGTCTTGTGTATAAATCGAAATTCAATTCTCATTAGTATTCAATTATTTATGAATCCTGCCAGTAATAATGGGAATCGATCAATGCTGTAATTCCCAAATCTCATCTTATCACCATCCGACAGTAATTCGGTAAAACGTGTCGAAATTTTTGACCACTCGCACAGAATTGAATCTATTTGCTCACTCTTGAAATCCCCATCGATCATTCATCACCTGCTCGTTCATTATTGAACATTCAATTCGGGTTCTGTTCCAACGAAATCGTCTTTGTTCCTCCCCCGGTTCTTTTGTCAACGCTTTAAAATTCCAACGCGCGGAAAAGTACGCCGACACAATTGGATCCCAGGTGGGCTTGTTAACGCGGCCTTGATTGGCTTTTGTACAATTGCACGGCCCGCTCGCGCGATTCGTCCTACGATTCAACGTCGATTCGACGTTCCCGTGGCTAATTCCGTCCGTCGATTTCGCCCAATTAACGTAACACAAAATGTCCGTTGCGATCTCGGGGACGCGGCGAGAACCGCCGTGAAACGACCGTTGTCTAACATCTCCAACGATAAATCACAACGACACACCAGGCGTGAATTTTAACGCGTCGATCTTCGCGCGCAGCTGAACGCACGAACAGCGAAACGGGAAATTTATATCGGCGATAATTAACGGGTGAAACGAACGACAAACAGCCGGCGCGCGCTTTCAATCAAGGAATATTCGGTGTAATTTAAATCATCGTAGATTTGTCGGGAATTCGCGTTTCCCATCCCCCTTTGACAACCTCGTTTTAACATCCGCTGTTACGTAGTGCCCGGGAACGTTTATAATTCCTAATTAATTCTGCGGATGACGGGTGCACACGGAATGATTCTTAATTCTCGGACAATATTTCTAACAGCCTCTATTAACCGAACGTATATATTTTCGACGATTTACAACTTAATAAAGTGAAATAAAGCGTGTCTGGCTACGTACGGTATTTTTCACTGTGGCAATCTTACGTGTTAAATTATGAATTTCTAACAAGTACGTGAGTAGAAAGTTTTAACGACATACAGTTGATTACAAAGCTCGACCAAGATCATAATACCAATATTTACCGGGAACTCTGGCCGCGAACGACCTGCTGGCGGTAAAGATCCACCGCGTTATAAGCAACTATTGAATAGGCGCCACTGAATAGAGAATGAACATTATTCACGGGATACAATGGAAAATTGTCACAAAGCGCGGAGATTCCTACACGTTCCATCGTTATAATAATAACAATAAATTCGCCAGGACTATGCAAAGAGCGATATCTTTCGGTTGGCTCGCCCGGCAATAGATTCCCGATTCCCTCCCAACCCCGCTTTTTTTCCACCCGATTCTCCGCGTGGAAAATACAATCCCGCGAAAGTTATATAACGCCGGTTCGCCTTTTGAACACGAATAAACGCAGGGGAAGCGATTCGGATGTACGATTTCTGAATACGAACGCGCTTTAAGAGAGCAAAACTAATTTTCAATCCTTATGTATTGTGATTAAAATACAAACAAACCATTTTTTCTAGGGAATATAATCTATCCTTTTCTGGAGAAACATTCTATATCTCAACACAATTTCAGACATGGCATCCTTCGTTTGCTGTTACAGTAACCGCAATACATAAGAATTAAAAATTTTAGGCTGATTTTATAGTTATGCCACGCCAGTGTCTTAGTTCACATAAGAATACAGGTATTTTTCAAATATGTTAAAAAATTCGTTTAAACGAAATAATGCAGAAACGTCTAAATGGACACATACGCCTCTGTTTGCATCACCATCCTTCGAGGGTTAATCGAAAACAGCAAGCGAGTAGCTCACGCGACACGTCCCGAATAATTGCTTCCAAAGTCTGCAGAAAAATTCGGGCGATGTCACTTCTCTATTTTCCGTATTAGTAGTGCATTAACAAATCAGCGTAAGCCCTCCCACCTTCCCGTAATCATTGGAACTGTCAACCCTCGTCTACTTGCAGGGTGATCCAGGTGCTCCACTGACGGCCGACCAGGCGCTGATTGGCGTTCTATCCTATGGATTAGGGTGCAAAACTACGATACATCCGGGGGTGTACACTCGTGTCAGCAGTTACGTGGCGTGGATATCGGCGAATACCGGTATCCCCTGTGCATGAGACGCAGCGACGTTCGCGAAACTACAATGTCAACATCCCCAACCTTTAACGGGAACACCGCTAAACCCCCAAGTCGCAACGTTCGAACAGAACAGCAAAGTTTCCGCACGTTCGTCCGCCTCACCGTCCTCCAGGTCCCGGCACGAAACGCTTCTGTAACTTTATAAATCTGTCGAACGCTGCAAAAGGGTTTTATGGAAATACAACGGGCGCCAGGCGGAAAGGAAGTTCCCCGTTCGTCCTACGCGCACGAATGATTTCCCTTACGCCATATTGCGCCCGCCGTTTCATTTTTCTCCGGACAATTCGCCCTTTATCCGTGCTGCTTCGGCAAAGGAGGAATTTTAACGGATTCTTCCGTCTCTCGGATACGAACGAATATCACGGCGTGTGCCACGTGTTTAGAGAACAGCAGTTGACATTGTTGGAGATTTTTTAGATTAGGTCGGGTGGAGGATTGTACGTTATGATTAAAAAATTATATGAATTATTTTAAGGTTCGACTGAACTGTAGTAAATGGTAAGATGATTATGGAGAAAAATAAATTTAACTGGAAGAATAGTGAAATAATGTCAACCAACTGTTTATTCCTTAAGATTGGTTCATCGAGACGTACTTACCAATTCCTACCAGTCTCAACCACCAAGAACCTGGGCAACTCCAAGAAACGTCGATCGAAATATTCGAAACTTCGGTGAGCAGTTCCAGCCAGGGAGTTTTGTCGAAACATTTGCACAGGCTCGAATAAATTTACAACCTGCAAACCGAAGCCCTCCCCAAATGGATTATCGATCATCCGACTAATTAGCGGTTTCGTCGGACTCATACTTTCTATACAGCATCCGATAACTCGTCTCGCGGGTACCAGAAAACATATGGGAGTGGGGGGCTGTCAGTGAATTCATGCTCGTTCATTAGCGGACTAATAGTATTTTTGAGAGTTAAATGCACGGATAAACACACGGGGGGCGGTTTCCGATGAGAAATAACCGGCTCACTTATGGGACCACTTGTTACGCTCATACATTAGGAGCGGTGCGCCGCGAGAGCGTGGCTCGTTATCGATCCACCTGCTTTCGCCGCGTTTAAATAAACGAGCAACGGTGAAAACCGAATCCCGACATTTATTTCGGATACGAAAACGGAACGCAATATCGTCGAGCATCATTAACGCTGGCCGCCCATTACGAATAATCGAGAAGGAAAATATACTCTTGGAAACAGTTTACAGTAATTCCTTCATGAGAGCGACAAAATCGGGTCGGTTTCGGAGCATTCATGGCAAGATGAAAAGGTTTTCAGCCTTTCATAAATATTTTTGTCCTAAGCCGAGCCCCTGCTTAACTTCTGTTTACTCTGCTTTGATTCCCCAATGGTGCGGATAACGTCGCTGTTCGTGTTGCATTCATCGAGGCATCACTGTATTAATAATGATGATCGTCGGATTGGTACACGATAATCGATTCAATTGCAACGTGGAGCTAGTTATAAAGAATACAGAAGATTTATTATTGAACAGTAACGTCCACGATATTTCGTCGCATCGAAATCAACGGATTGTGGAACTTTTCAAATCGCGCGAAAATCCAAATCGTGTTCTGAGGACTCGTCGCGAGAACGAATTTCAACTTCGCGAGTTACGTATAAACTTTCATTGCAAACAAAGGAAGTGGATCAGCGACGTGGCTATGGAATAATTGTTTTTCATTTTTTTCGAGGGAGAAATGTTAAAGTTTGTGTTTCTCCCAGTTTTTATGTCAAAGGCAAACGCTCACAAGCCAGTTTTCGCTGTAATCCAACTTCGAAGGACTGTCACTCGCGTGTAAACGCCAGGATAAGACGGCAGCGCGCAACCGATACCCCAGGACACGATCCCGATTAATCGGCCGTGTTGCACCATCGGTCCACCACTGTCACCCTGTTGAAAGAATAGAACTGTATCAGTAGAGAATACCCCTTTCTACTTTAGCAGATTCGATAGAGGAAATACATATTGGTAATTGCTGTTACTTCATCCTAATATTATAGGCCCTATTTCGTGAAACAAAACTGTCAAGACAGCCACTAAGACGCCATATTTTAATTTATACAGGAGTATCTTCAGAGAGAGGCATTAAATTATGAAAATGAAACGTTCTTTCCAGTATCTCTGCTACGCTTCCGAAGCTCCTTATGCATGTTCATGAAGAGACTACCGCCGCGAGAAATGAGGGTCGTGATAAGAAGTTGACCTTGCGATGTCCTTGACACCTCCGCCCACTCGTTTTTCTCTGTGAAATTCTAACGACCCCCTCGACCTCGTTCAAACTCATACGTTCAATTTTCTTAATTCGGTGTGTGTACTGCAGAGTACATCCATTTATAAATTAAAATAGACCATCCTGTATTTCACGTCTTCGTGTAAAATTCTGTGGTAATGAGGACTCGTCGACTGAGAGTAGTTCAAGTGTCTGCGAGAAAGTGAACAAACAGGCGAAAGAATTTAATTCAGAAAGATCTCGTTAAGAAATCCTGATAACATATTAATCCTCTAAAACATCCCAGAACATTCAGAAATAATATTCTCTTCTTTCTCTAATTTTAACAACGTCGTACCGTTCGAACGTAAGTGCAAATATTGGAAGAGAATATCATATTCCAGTCGTGAAATTACTTCGATACCGAACGAAAGGGTAGGAGTATCTCATCGAATGAATGACGCTCTTTCCAGCCCCATTAAGACATTCATCCATACATCCAAGGAAAATCGATAAAGCTAGTAACGATATATTAACCTTTTCTCTCGTTGTACACTGGAGAGACTTTCCTCTCGAAACGCTCGGCAATTTTCACGATGTTACGGAAATAGAGGGCTAACAGAAAATGGAAGTCAAGAGAGCATATCGGAGTCTTTTCTACGTAACGACGATCAACGATTTAATATCGGTTCGGTAACATTTAATATTTGTAAAACAAACAGCTTGTGTAAACTTTGACTCGTTCACTTGATTCAGGTGTGTACTTCCAAGTTCCCCGAGTATGTTTAAACTCGCTGGAATGTTTATACGATACGGCAGCGATACTTGGGGGCTTGTGTTTACAAGATATTTCTTGCGGGACTGACTCCAAGAAATGTATCGTGATACAAGAAATATAAGGTATTTAAGAGTGGCGGTGAACATATTTCCGAGAAGTAATTTAAAAGACATCCGCGAAGGGAAAAATATATACAAATTTACGTTCCTCTAAAACAAATAGAAGAAACATTATTTAAATAGAAATTCACCTGACTTATCAATGATTTCCAGATAAGATCTTCTGTGATCAAGATCTTCAATACTTTCATCAAGTCTGATTAGATTTTCCTCACACTGGACAACCTCCCCCTAAGGCCAGGTCTACATTGCTACTAGCTCTATACTCAGGCACTTACTCTACTAATAGAAACCTGAATCTAGCACTCATAGCCACTAGCACAAATCGACAACAGCATCCAACAATAATACTACCACATTCAACATCAACAGATTCTCAACACAGGTATCTCACATAATCATCAATACACATAAACCAGAAACCATAAGCTCCTCACGTCCGCGCCATAATACCCATCCCAGACGCGAAGAAGCCATAAATCCCGGGTCTGTACGATTAAAAACGTATCAGTCACAGCGTTCACAATGCGTGTTTCACCCCTCCCACCCTCCTGAACGCTTGTCCAAACGACAATTAAATGGAAGCAATTACCTGGCACGCATCCTTGCTGCCGAGATTCACGTATCCAGCGCAAATCATTCTCCGTGTAATAGGCCGTCCACCGTACAATTCTGAGCACTCCGTGTTCGAGACCAGCGGTACCTCGACCTTACGTAACTGGTTCGATATCCGTCCGTTGCTTTTCAACAGTCCCCAACCGGTCACCAACGCCTTGCTGCCAGCGTTGTAATGATCGGCGACCGGTGCCAGGACGATCGGTCTCACCCGGTTATCGTAGACCAGCGGTTTTTTCAACTGAAATTGCGGATCGGTTTTCAACGGCGTGGCGATGGGACGTCGCAGAGAGGCCGCAGGATTGCAAGGGAATTGATTGTGCAACGGTAATTGAATTCTTTGGCTTTATTCGACGTGGATGGAGGAGTATCCCTCCCCTGTCCGTTTAATAAATAAAGTTCGTCGATCGAGGGCGCAGTTTACCCGGGACCGGTTTACGGTATCGTTGTTACTAAGCGATTTTTCGAACGGTCCCCACACGATCGCCACCGGTGCTAGCCCACCTTCATTCCTTCGTTATTTACTCTACTAACCGTGCAACGGGTAACGTAGTATTTCTAGCACGCAATATCGGCGGACCATATATATTTTCATTCGCGATTTTACAAACACTGGACGAGAAACGTACGATCGTGGTGGGGGTGGGAGAGGACACAGGGATTTCGCGTGAGCGACGATGGAATGGACGATAAAGACGATTCTTTGCGATCTGGACGGAGTATCCGTTTGGAAAAGGGATGAAACGTATATGTTTATGGCAGTTGTTAAAATAAACAATAATAGAACCGACTCTGTGAAAGACACAGGTGGATCGCAAAAGATTTAATCTGTTTATCTTGAATTAGTGATTCTGACGATTTAATGTGGTGTATCTGGAATGTTCCTAATTGTAAGGCAATTCGAGATAAGTTAGGAGGCTTTTATAAATTCAGACGGATTGAAAATTTACTTTCTAGGATTCGTTTGATAATTGTTGAACACGTTTCGTTCACTTCAATTGCTATAATATATGCCTAACTTTATCATCCCTTTTCGCGTTACCTTGAAATTAATAGAAAATATGCGGTACAATTTTTTTTTCAACGCGATTCTGGATATTGGAATGTAAAATGTGAAACTCACCCGAACCAAAGCTATATCGTAATCCGAATCCCTTGAATCGTACAGCTCGTGGACAATGATTTCTTCTGCATCAACGACTACGCCGTCGTCCTTCAGATTGGAAGTCCCAGCCTGTATTGAAATGAATCGGGCAAAGGCTCTGAAATGGAAGACAATAAATGGAAAGAAAAACTCGCGTATATACAATATGTACACACATCGAATAACAACCTAAATCACATTTTTCAGGTATGTTCCGATGCGTAATGAATTTCAACAAAACCTTTTACTGTTATCGCTCCCTTATCGTGAATTTTCACGGTGGAGCAATTTAAATTTCCTAAAATCCTAATGTGTTATTAATTATCAACTATTAATACTAATATTAACTAACTTGAATGGTTAGATACCTCGTTAAAGTTGAATTATCTGTTATAAAGATCAATTTCGATTATATACTTAATAACGTAAAAATTAATTCACGGTCGAAGATATGCATACCTCTGGACGCAGTGCGCGGCTGTGACGACCCATTCCTCGCTAATGATAGCACCACCGCATACGTGACGATTGTTATATCGGAGGGACACCTATAAATTCAGCGGGCGTATCAATTTTGCGAATCGTCGGCCCCGACGACCGGTGAAATTCACAATGTTTTCGCGTATAATCAGTGCGACGGTGTTAAGCGCAGTTTGCATTTTTTTTTTTTATGTACACCGGTGATATTATCGAAGGCAAACTAATAATCGTCCGTACAGATGAAATATTCTCGTTATTTCAATACTATCCAACTTCCATCTGTATGTTGAACATTTGTTTTCATTTAATGAGATTTCAATTTAATTCCCGATGAGAATATTGGAATCAAAATTTAAATGGACACTTTTCATTTCAATGATTCAATCGGACTTCGATGTTTTGTCTTGGGTAAGATCTATTATACGCGATTCACAATATTTGAAGTCTTATCTAATCGTAATTGCTCGATACCGAGTGCAGCGAAAAGTATGACTTTTTCAAAATAACGATACTTCAACACTTGAAGGAAGCAAGAACAAAAGTACTGTTTTACTTTACAACGATTCGGATCAATTAATCTTCGCCAGTTGCGGCAACAATCGGAATATATTTACCTGATACGGATGATCGTCGATATTAGCTGGCTGGCCTCCAACAATACGACCCTCGTCAACTGAAAAAATCAATGAACGAATTAGCGTTTCCACTTGCAAGGTTATTGAAGAAAAAAAATGACTAATTAGAGCGTAACGTTGTTGAACGAGTTTCGATGAAATGTAGAATAGATTTTCCAACACAACCAGAGTAACCAGAAGACTGAAAAAGGTACGCTTCTTCAGAATGCATCTAGTGTATCACGACATGGTATTGACGAGTGAAAAATCGAGTGAACCGTAGAACTACATGAAATACATAACAAAAAGTCGAACGAAAATATCGTGTCAAGTGGGACTGTTATTTGTTAATGCCTCGAAACAAATTGCGTGAGAAATGATATTGAAAGACGTGTTATTCCTCGATAAAAGTGATTGCACAAGAATGATTAAAGTTCCTTTAAACGAGTCGAGTGTACGCACGTTGCAGTAAAAAGAACTGCGAGAACGCAATCGGCGCGAGCTGCAACCAGAGGAACGGGAGCAACAACGTATACATGGCGGGAAACCGTGGAAGAAACTACCTGCCCGCCATCGGGCTCGCCCTTCTTTTATTTCGATATTCGGGTTAATTGTCGTTCGTATCAATTTACCCTGGACACGAGAAAAATTTCCGATCCACAAAAGTCTGGGAGACAGTGTCGACCCAGATTCCCCGTCGATTACGCAAAAAGGAGAAAGACTGAAATAAAAGTTCCAGCGCCTCCAGCGGACGATAGCATCGTTCATTTTGTACGAAGCCATTAAATGAATCTTTAACGGCTTCCTTACACATATATATTAGTCAAAATGAATGGCGACCGAGACAATTCAATATTCAAGGGATGATTAGTCATATAGAGCAGAAACACGTGGATGAAATATTGATCGGTGTCAGGTCTCGAAGTAATGTCCATTATTACATTAAAACAGTCGTTGTATCGATTAGATAATAGTTACTAATTATAATACATTCTAAATTAATAATTGCTCAATCTCAAATATCATTTATTCGAAGAAAAGAATATGTCGTAAATAGTCAATTTTTTACAGGTGACCCAGCACACTATCATCAACACAATACTCTGGCTCCACAAGCTCCACTTCAATATTATCGTCGATCGATGAAAGTTTCAATTGAAAATACAAAATTCACTACCGTTCTTTACATTCAACTGGGGTGACGTACAAAACATGGCGGACCAGAGGACAACGAGTAACGTAGTGGTTCTCACCCCGATGGCATTGGTATGCCACGAGTAGGCATGATTCTTACAGAACGAGCAAGGTAAACTGCTGTCGGAATCGATGCCGAGTCTCTTTACGAGACGAAGACACCGATCAACGGGTGCACGTATAATAGTAGACTCTCCCGTTTCGACGACCCTTTACAATCCAGCCAGCTGTTCCAACCTGGAAAACGGTACCAACCGATCGACAGGGAACCGAGTCACGTCCGTTGGGCGATTGTAAAATTAATAATTCGGAACGGAATAATTCGATGACGAATCGTGCTCAAGAGAAGGTGAAAACGATGGAGCCTCGGCTGAAGTTTGTTTCCCTGTGTACTCTATATGTGAGCCTCATGGAGAACAGGTAGATTCACGCAATATATTCGAGGCATTTGAAAGTGCTTCAGAGCCTATCACTAATTATAACCCATTATAATTAGAATTTATGTACGTGTAAGCATCAATACCGATACTATTTAATCAAGTACGTTGTCTTTTCGCAAAACGGGAAGAAATTTATTATTACCGGAATCGATTTCATGCGATCTGGCCCGATCGACCGTCATTTGGGATAATGTTGCATGCCGAAATCGGCGTCTCGCTTCAGTGGCACTTAAAATTGCACAGCCCTTCCAGGAAAATTAACAGTCATCATGGCTCGGTACGCAATCCGCGACCGGATGGAAAGTGAGTTGCTTAATCATCGTATTTCGTACCACAAGAAGTGTTAACTGTTCCGGAACGCTTTCGAAAGAGTTCCTTTCGGTAATTGATTGCTCGCGGTACTCGGTGGACACATTGGCGCCGTGTCAAGAATTAAATTTCCATATTCTGCGTACCAGTTTGCTTCGTCGACCGCAAGAATATCGGGTCAGCGATGATTTTTTTTTCAAGTTATTCTTCGTTCTGAAACGGTTCAGTCATTATAGTAACTTTACGAATAAGTGATTGACTATATTTTCAATATGTTGGAAATATATTTTAGATTCGGAATGTTAATGAAAATTATGGAGGGTGATAGAAACAAATAACGAATAATTAACCGAAGTAATACAAAATTTTTCAAGAAATCGTCGACCGAATCAAGAAATTAAAAGTTTTGTAAGTATCTATTATATTTGTAACAATGCTAAACACTTAAATTCCATCAAATGAATAAGACAAAAGGCCAATAATATCTTATTTTAACCGATAAGCTTTTAAATGCGAATTCAAATTTGTGTCGTACCGTCTATACAACACTAGAAGAAACTACTATATGTATACTCACAAATATAAAAGGATACATGATACTAATATCTTATTTCATAATTTCAAATACGTAGCCACATAACAACACTGGGAACGAAAGGGTTAAAGCTCACAACGTTTACGAAAGTACATCTACGACATCGGTAGAACATAAATTACGCCGGAAACATTTATGAAACATTTTAATCAAGACATCGTACGTAATGGTCGTATTTTTTTTTCAATTTCTCTATAAAAAGTATAAATTCGTGATACACTGCTTGAACTTTTTCCACAAAATATAAAGCCGCGATTTATATCGCCGGTTTCTTCTTTTTTTTTTTCCGAGAGGCGGGAATCCCTTCACAACGAACGGGGAGAAATTAATCTTCGCCCGACGAGCGCACAGAGGGATATTTATTTTACAGTTCGCTGCATCTTGTCTATCCAGTCTCGCATCTCGGACACTCGCGTGTACACTCCAGGAAATCCGGGTTCCGCGCATTTGAAGCCAAAGGACACGATACCGATTTGAACGCCGTTCAGCACCAGCGGGCCACCCGAGTCTCCCTGTATTATCCGGTAAAATCATTTTTTTTATTCCAAGAATATATCCCATATATACATTAAAAATTATATTTCAAGAGTAAAATATTGCAGAGAACTTTGAAATTTATTACTATAAATAATTCGAGAAGGAGAGCATGCAATTCTCACGTTTCCTAAATTTCCAGATGATAATAACAATTATGTAAGAAGTGTGTTTGAGAAACTTACGATAAGAGATCATTCATAGATAACACGAGCCAAAATATTTTTGGTAACACTGTGTCATGATTACGATACCCTATGCAATCGATCACAGCGATTAATGTATCTGTAGTAAGCGTACTTCGGTTACGTGTAACCTAGATATTAACGTTATTCAATTGGGTTTCGTCTGATACACACTCTCAGATACAGATCTAATCTTTGGGTGCTACGTCCGGGAACATTTATGTGCCAAATATTATCGTCAGGATTTTCCGAAAAACCGCTGTCTCAAGTTTAATACATCAATACGAAATTAATACGGGGAATTCAATCAGTAACAGATATAAATCGAACTTCTACTCGCAGACTAGATGCTGAACTGATTATTTTTGTGAACAACCAAAGAAATATAATTTTTGCTCTGTATTCAAGATAAACCACGACACGTGATCAGCTTAGATTATTCTACTGCTAGGTGTTCGATCGAAATTTCGTTCCCGTAACATTATTCAAGGAGAACTTTAAGATGATTGTACCAAATTTTTTGTCAACACTTTTTTTCTAAAGTTTTCAAAGTTACTTTTAACATTGAACTGTGCTGGTCTTCATAGAACACATGAAACGTGCTACTTTTCGTAACGCACATCGAAAGTAAATAATACAGAATTTTTCACCTGGCAAACGTCTTTGCCGCCAGCCATATTCCCAGCGCACAGCATCATCTTCGTGATCGGTTGGTACTTGGCGGCGTAGATCTTCTTGCAACTGTCTTGATCAACGACGGGTGCTGGCAGTACTTGCAGCGTGTTCGACATCGAGCCGCCGACCTGCAAGTGACTGCACTTTATGGCCGTAGTTGGCCAGGTGATTTTGGGACCTGACCGAGAGAGCGCAAACGGCCGTTGCCCACGTATACGTACGTACTCGCGCTTGCGACGGAATGTTTACAGTGACGACCGAACATTGTCGACCGATCGACAAACAAACCTTAATGTTTGCGCGAGTTCGCAGCGGGTAATCAGTCTGGGCGAACGGTCCCACGTTTACAGAAGCATCGAGTCACCGTCAAACACAGTTTACCTATGCAACAGCTGTCAAAATGGGATCCGCTGAACTGTTCGAAAAGAAATAAAACTTACAGATGTCTTGCCCCATCCTGTCACCACCGCGTCACTTCCGACGCGGAGTTCTATTTCCGGATGCGAAGTCTGCACGACCATCCCACGGGACGCCAAGGCGATCGGTTTCGCGTTCACGTCGAATTTTATTGAGGTTGGAAGCTACGATACAATTTCACTCTTGTTAGTCTTACAATTAATTCGTTATTTGTTTTTGGATGCTTAAAGCCTTTAACAGTTCAAGAAAAAATGATCTTGATAACATATGTCAGTCAGGGTCATCGGAGGTGGATGCTCTTCGGAAAGTTTATTCTAATTTAAAATCTAAACATAGGGCAGCAAGCATTGTCAACTTTTGTATTGCTTCATATGTAGTACACGTGTCTGTTTGATTTTATTACAGTTTGGAAGGAACCAGAAGAATAAGAAGATTTTGAATAGATTACAGCTATTCAGTTGCTGATAGAGGAACGATCAATAGATAATCGTTATCTTATCCGTATTTACCATCTGTATATCTTTCTTGATTGGACGTGGTCAAGGAAGCTAACGTAGAGATATTTCTTATAATTAAATTATTAACGGACACGATATGCAAAATATGTTTTTTGGATGGAAAATTCGAGGAAAATCGTATGCAATTAACAGACCAACCTTTATCAAAGCAACATCGTATTCCAATGTACCGGTGTTGTACATCGGATGAGCAATGGCATTTCGTATTCCGTTGATCACCGTACCGCCCTGGCTATTGAAAGTGCTCTTGACACGAATTTGCAAAGACGAGGCCGTTTCCCTGCAAGGTAATCGGAATTAACAGCGGATCACCCATACGATCCTGTCGACGAGCCAGCAATTTCGCGTCTCGGTAATTAATAAATTGTCTACTTGGTCGACTCGCCGTCGTTCCATAACTCAATCAACACACAAACCGGTAGATACAATGCGCCGCCGTTAGCACCCAGTCCGGGCTGATTAAGGAACCCCCGCATACGAGCTTGTCCCTAACGTGGATAGACACCTGTATTACAGAAACAGTTGCTACGTTGTTACAACGTTACTCCTTGTTACGCTGAACTAAAAAGGTTGTAGAAAGTTCCGTGAAAAGTTCTGGCGTGTTTCGGATCATATTGACGTAAATCCAGAATTTACTTTTTAATTCTATTCTCTGTCGGCGAAAATTTAAATTAATTCAACACCAGTAGTTTACATATAACAACAATCAACCGATCTATAAGTATGTTTCCTTCATTCCCTTTTAGCTTAGAGAAAGTTTAATTCAAAAACAGTGCACAAGAGTCTAGTGAAATGATCATAAACATCAAAATTCTCCTCATTGTGTCTAACAAAATTTGCTTCGATATTTGTTCAAAACAGTACACACAATTTTTGTTTTCTGGTTATGTAACAAATCTAAATTATAATATATAATCCTTCAAAATACTTTTCTCTAATTCTGGGCGTATGTTTCGTCCGAATACACATCCTGTCAGATACGTAAGTAACTTCACGTACACAATTAAATCATCTAACACTAGACTACCATACCTGGTACGGATACTTGTCGATCGTCGTATTCGATCCTCCCACGATTCTAGGACTGAAACAATTCGCGACCGCGAAGGTGAGCAGAAATAACACCGCCAGCATGTTTCTCGGCGAACGTACCAGCGGCTGACTGTCTTCGTTTCATTTAAAATCACTGTCGTAAACTTCTCGTCGCTGTTCCCGATAAGACCAGATTTGATATCGGAATTAAAATACCCGTATACAATATCGATTGCCACACCTTCGATCGATTCATCGCTGGAAAACCAATAGCCAACAGACGTGATTGTGTCTCCGGTCATCGCTTCAAGAATCTTTTTGAACTCTATCTCCCTCTCTTTCTTCCACGGTTCTTCCACTATTCTTCCTTCCATCGTCAATAATCACGTACGACAAGCCGGAAGATAATCAAGGAAAGCCGGAAGATATCTACGAAAAACATCACATTAAATAGTTTGCCTAGCACCTATTTCAACTGTTTGTGAACTGAATAGTGCTAGTCTTCGTAGAATACATGAAACGTGCTACTTTTCATAACGCGCGTCGATATATTAAATAAGCGTACATGAGGACCGCGTAATTTCGTCTGACGCGCGCTATCGATTGTGGCACGCTGGCCAAAACTGGATGCATCAAAATGGCGACTGGTCCCGTTTCCCTCCATAGTTTCGAAAACGGACACGTGTTTCGGAACCGTGGCGGCTTGCGCGGGAATTAATGATATGCCAAACGACTCTCGTAAACGTAAAAGGCTAGGCCGTGGCGCACCCCCTCCCGTTAAAATTATATGATAGCGGGCCCGTTCCGGATATACGGGGGCGCACACCTAGCTCGTGTGTATTATAAATGTGATGCATGCTGCTCGCAAAACAACCAGGGCTGCATTATTTATGGTGTACTCGGCCGAACGCAATGAAAATAAGGCGACATTAGAAGCGGGGACGGGGGATAGGCTGAAAGCAAGTGGAGGAATAATCCCATAACGGTGTGTAATCCGCTGAAAATTACCATTTAAAGTCCACCTATGCGGTTCGCGGGTACCAAAACTGTATTCCGCGGTGAACGATGGCCGGAGGCCTTCGTGATTAACTGCGTTAAAGGCAACCTCCCGGTGGAGGGAATTATTTCGCAGTATTCTTTTGGCTTCGTTTTTATCTCGCGTTTAGCTGGCTCGCGTCCCGGCAGAAGGAAATATTTACGGACTGAGGACAGTTCTGGAATGTAACGTGAGAACGTCGTACGTTTTATCGCCGAGTAGTTCAGAGAGCTTTTAGAAGGCTTCTTGAGTGTGGATTTTTATAGCGGGTCTCTAGATTGCGTGCAGTTGCATGCCATAAAGGAATGTTAACTGATTGCACGTGGTATCGATGAGTTTTTTTTAAGTAAAAGAAGAGAGAATATTTTTTTAAATAAAATTGTAATTGGACGAGAGAAGCGATCCTTTTACCATTGATATTAAGAAAATAGCCCCTCGAAAAATATTAACACTCTAATTGATGTCCCTAGTTACTGAAAAAATACTTGAAATAAACAATTAGTAGTCCGATTCCTATATGCGAGTTCTTCAAGGCCTTTTAGCTAGTGTAGTTTAAATTCAACATGCTTTCTCAAATAATGATGAATATTATTAACAGATACGCTTTCGATTCTCTTCGAAAAACACTGTGTTACTCGTTGGTGTAGCTAATAGAAAAGAAATTCTCTGATATCGACGTAAATATTTACCAGCTGAGTGAAACAAGCGATAGCGTAACGAGAATAATCAGAAGGTACAATTGCTCGAGAATTTCAAGGAACTCCACGTTCAATTTGGCTGCCCAATGTTCGCAAACATTTTCGTTAATCAGCTGCATCAGTAACGAAGACGCGCCGCTACGGAATCTTACACAAATTTCTAATATTCTGCGCGTGCACAAACTGCTCCCTCTCTATTTTCAACGGAGACGTTTCCGCAGCTGTGTGAGCGCGTAAAAACGAGTGCAGAACTTCCGGCAAATGCTGCGAATTATAATGTGTCTGTATTTCGGAGACTCTTTCGCATTCAGAATACGGCAGCCACTGGAGGGCTTGTGTATACGGCGTTAAGTCCTTCCGTTATAGCGAGACGCGGTGGAAACTAGGTATTAGGAGTTGGGAATTCCGAAGAGATTACAACGAATTAAGCCCGGAAGGAAGTTCCCTTAGGAGAGATGCGTTCGTCTGGACTTCCGAGGGAAAGCCGTCCTATGAAAGCTGTTATTATTTCATAAAAACGCTGCATGCTTTGTTATTCAATTTACATGTAAAAAAAAACCTAATCCACCTGCGCTGTAATGTTTTCATACTCATATTCATTTATTTACGGAAGATACTTTAATAGTATACCTCGGTCCACCTTGGACTTTCCTCGTTCCAATTAAAAATGTGCCAGGGACATTTCAACAACAGTCGGGCCGAGCCTCTGGCGAATTAACGCGTACACACATACCTTGTCGGTTCGGCTTTCGCAAGAAAAATAATGCAATTTATATACTTTATCGTCGGACACGAGCGCTTAATCGACTCGATGAGTCAGCCCCCCGGATCGCGCGATTGCTGATAAAAAAATACCGTTCCGAACCCGATCCAGTCGTATCAGAGCCGATACACGATTATTGAAATTACGTGGATCGCAGAGGAACGGTGGTGGAGGGGCGGGGGTGTAGGGGAGCGACACGCTCATCCAAATTTATGGGGGATTCGCGTCTACGCCGGATTACCAACGCACGTTTCACGGGGGAATTCGAGAACTGGCACACGCGGTGAAATATTTTCGCGAAGACCGGATGAATAGAGGGAACCCGTTGGACACGAACCGAATGAAATACGCCGCGACGTGTTACGAAAATTGTTGCGATAATTTTTGCTCATCGAGACGCGCCGACGATAAACCGACGTGAAATTATCGTTCCCAGCGAACGAGCGCGCGCAAGCCGAAGTTCGTTCCGCGGAGGGGTAGGCGTTACCCGAACCATGTAATTGCGATTACACCGCAATTTACCCGCCGTCGATGTTTTTACCGTGAATATTTCGCATACGTGTTTACGCGGTCGATGTCTGCCGCTGATCCGCTGCATTTGCTAATGACTCATTGCACCACATTGTTGACACGGAAAGAGATCCTACTGGAGTTATCTGACTGGCAGATCCTCCTCCAAAGGCTTTAATCGCCTTTATCGAATAGTACCTGGTTAGTATTAGTTTCTAAATGTTCTGCTCTTGTTATGCTTAGAAAGGTACAATTCAGGTGGACTCGTAGGGAATTCCCAGTGTACTGAATTTTCATTTACTACTGGCTAAAACAGCTTTCACGCATGAACCATTTAAATTCTACAGTACCGTGCGCTACGACATTCAAATAGCCTTCGTAGAACGAAATTTCATGCGTGTCGGGCTAATAATTAGACCGTCGAAAATTCGATTAATTCGCTGATAAACACGCTCGGCCGAAGTCGCTGAATAGCAGCGGCCCCATGAAAAATACCCGTTGACGATTTCGTAAATTAGCGATGTGCCAGGGATTCTAATGGGTGGAGGGGGGGCGGTCGAGATTGGAAGATTATCGGCGATTTCGGAAATGGTTCGCAGCGTATATATATATATATATATATATATATATATATATATATATCGATTGAATAAAATAAATCGGCTGGTTGGACGGCGTTATTTCGTTCGATTTATTAATCGTAATAAAGTGCCGGGATCGAGTAACAAGAACGGAACATTATCGCGACCCGGCCGATTTATATGTCAGCGTTGGCAATCTACGTAAAATCACCCTGGCCATTCTCGTACGGCCGAGGGGATATAATATGTTAATTAAATAATAAATATCGCGTTACTTGGCTCCCGTTGATGCGTGGAAACTGCGCGTATGTACGGCTGTCGGTAACAGTCGAATATATTTATTACGCGCCGGCGATTCGCGTGACAGCGCGGACGCAATACGACGCGTATTTGAAATTATTTTTGAAGATAATGCGCACCTCCCCGCGGGTACGCTTTCGCCTGATGAACTCACTGTTTCGACAGTTATAAGAGCTACAAAGTCGAGAATCACACAGGCACGATGTCCAACGAAACGAATTTACGACCCATTGCGACAGGGTCGAGCTACTGTATTCACGATGTTATCTTAATAAACCCACTAGTCGATACGCGGAAAACACGGTTTTTTCTGACACCGTGTCGATTTAGCCCTTAATGTCACGGCATTAGTGGCATTAGCAGTGTCTAGATAAACGAAACTGGAAGACAATAATCGGGAGATGTTCGTGCAAAAAGTTACGTGTTCGCTTGCTTTATAAGGAATTCGCTTGCCTCGGTGACCTCAAACGTGATCACGATGCATGCTCTACTGTCTCTGGTGGTCCTTGGCTCCTCAGTGCTCTTGGTGGATTCGATGTACAGTCCAGGTGAATAATATTCTATGATCTATATATTGAAACTTAACTACTGCACGATAGTTACGATAAAAAATTTCCATTATGGCATTTACAATATGTATATCGATAACAAATACCGGTAAGTTGCAACTAAAACCTTCGCAACACTAATTATAATAGTGGAAACAAAAATACACAAAATATTTAACAGCAGGGACACGTTCGAGGACCTTACTGTGGCCCCATTAAAGATTTCGTTTGATTTGAATGTTGTACAGGCGATTATCGGGAAAGAATCGGTCTGGAGTCAGCGGGATCCCCGGCCTCGCTGGGATCGAGGATTATCGGAGGAGAGAAAGCCACCATAGAGAAATATCCATTTGCGGTTAGTGTAAAGCGCGCGATCGATCTTCACAGTCGATTTGGCATTTAGAGAATCGTTGCCTCTCCGTAGGTCTCGTTGCAGAACAATGGTACGTTTTTTGGCCACCAAGTCGAGCATTTCTGCGGCGGCGGTATCGTCGGGGAAAAGTGGATAATAACGTCAGCGCAGTGCGCTCTCAGGCAAGATTAATATAATATCGCATTGTCGACTAGGAACAGGGCGGGCTTGCGTGTACGATTGCGCACCGCACGGTTCCGATACGTTTTTCCTTCCGTGTAACGTTTTTTTATTATATTCGCGTGCTTTTTCTCCCGCAGAATACGCGTCAAGGGCTTTCACGTGAAGGCCGGCACCGCCGATTATTACAAGAACGGTGACATCTACGGCGTTAAAGGAGTTGTAATCCATCCCGCCTTTAACGAAATTAATTACGACTACGATGTCGGCCTTGTCGAGGTAATTATTGTTTGGTGTTGTCACGGGCTTTGTGATTATTCGAAGGAATATTTAAAATCTCGCGATAATTCTACCAGTAGATAGATTATAAAATTAAACATTATTCGATCACGATGAAAACCATCGCACAAAGAGAACTTCTTGAATATATATTCGAGCACTTCGTATAGTATCAAAAGATATTAATTGCAATTGCTTTTATTTCGATGACACTTTGGTTCTTCGATGGTATATAAAGTGGAGACTATTATTGTTAAGTGAACAGTATTAGCAATAGAATATTTTTCGTCGCAGCTCGCACAAAATATAAAGTTCGACAACACGAAGCAACCGATCAAGTTACCGAAGCTGCACGCGGAAATCCAAGATGGCACCCGGGTCCAAGTGCTCGGCTGGGGTGCGTCCGTGGTAAGAACGACGGTCGCAACACTTCGAAATGTATTTTATATCGAGAGTAGAATATTCCAACCAAGTTGTTTAGTTGTTAGGTCCGGTCTCCGATGACCTTTTAGCCAGCACGATGCAGAAAATTAGTCACATGGATTGCCAGCAAGCGAACGGAGGTGACTTACTAACGTACAGAATGTTTTGCGCTATATCAGAGATCGCTAGCGCATGCGTCGGGGATTCCGGCTCGCCTCTGATTTTGAACGGCACTTTATATGGTGAGTTTTAATATCTTATTCGAGAATTTCAATTAATAATTCAGCGACGTTATCGGTTGTAACGTCACCGTTTCCATTAATCACGTGGGTAAGTACTTTTTGGGGACCTTTGTGTCAATCGACCGACAAAAGATTCAAAGGGATCTCACTGTAATATATTGTTATATATTTGAATGAATGTAATTCCGTAGGAGTGACATCGTGGAGTCGATCCTGTGCATTACAATACCCGACCGCTTACACCGCTATATCCGAAGTGAGAGACTGGATCACCAAAGTGACTGGTGTAGATTAATCCCTCCATAATGGATCCAGACGATATTTTGTAAAATATTTATATCGTATTCTTCGTACTTGTATCCGTCGATGAACTGTATACCTTATACCGTACTCAAACCATTCTGAATTTTATTAAATACTTTAATCGTAGGTAGAATAGTACCATGTGAATTGCCTAGTTTATAAAAGTGACACTGAAAAGATCAAATAAATATATTATTCTTAATTCAGGCAGTGTATCAACACACGCCGATTTTTCAGGTTTTCTCCGCTGTAATGTTCACACACGCAACGGTAAATATTTCCCGAGGAATATCAAATAATAAAGAAAAATGGAAACGCCATATTTTTAACTTAAATATGAATTTCAATGAATATTTCGTTGTACGAATATTATATTTACCATTCCCCGCGAGGGATGCAACGCGGAAAATAGAACATTTCGGACGTGCACACGTGAGGACGGGTTCTTCGGTCGCGAAAGGGTGAGGAGAGGCGCGCGTACACGAGAAAAATATCTATGCGCTTGTAGCTGGGGCGACGAAAGAAACTGATAGAAATTCTGTATAAGCCAGGGAGCGGAGTGGAAATACTTGCCAGTGGTACACGTTGGAGTGGCACAGAGAGAAATGTTTAATTTCGAGGCTCCTCGAGACATCACCTCGTGAACCGATAGCTTTCGACCGGCCATTGCAATAATCCTATTAAACCGCAGACGCGATCCAATAACTTTTCTGTCACTGGCCCTGCCATCGCTTCGTTCTCCGTTCGACTGGCTGTACTCGTCCTGTTGCGTCGCGACTTATATTCACCCCGGGGAAAAACAACCACACACGTACCACCAGAAACGAATCAACACGTAATTGTCAGCCTTCGCTGCAGTAACTCGAACGATAACTCGATCAACAGTTTATTACTACTAAGTAAATAAGACGGATAAACACGGGGAATAAAGTCACGCTGGATGGTGTTGTTAGAATATATAATTTACGAGTCTGGTGAAACGGTTGAGATATACTGTCTGTTTCACAACAGCGTTGGAATTATATCGGGAAAAACAATTGTTATTTTTCAGAAATTCAAAAACAGGCTTATAGTACATCCAAAACACCACGACGCAATTACCTAATACAATGCATAATCCCCATCATTATCACGTGGAGCCTTTATCCTTTTGAAAAGAAGTCATTCAGAGGTGGTTACAGACAATTCGAGAAAAATGGTACGTACCCTCGGATTAATCCAAAAACCATGGGGCTCCGATTCAATAAACTTTCTGACATTGATACGCATTTACGACCAACTCGTTCCCCGGAAGCTAGTTTCGCCCCGTTTCGACTCTCTCTGTTTTCCCGACGTCACAAAAGCCGTTTGGAAACAAAAAGAGACAGTCGAATATCTCGGTGAGATGCGGCCGCACAAAGATGTTAAAGATGAAGGAGATATTGGATTAACCTTAATGGGCTGGTAATGTCGTTGCGACTGTCGCGGCCAAGTTATTACGTACTACGACGTAACGCGTATTACTGTGCACGTTTCGGGAGCTGTACACGTAGAAATGCCGTGGCTGGCTATTATTTCCTTCTAGTTTTCGGTGAACCGTAATAATTCCGGACTTTTCGCATTCCAAAGTGAAAACGTCGCTCCCTAGACGTCGATAACAAATTGCACTACAGTAGTCACTATTCTTTCCCTGGAAAAGGTGTTTGGGCATTAAAGGGTAAAGTTAAATAAAAATATAAATTAAAAAATAGTTTCATTTCACATTGACATTTTCGATTTCAAAATAACAAGATTTTTAACACCACACACGTCTTTCAGTACCATCATTTTGAAATAACGATTTAAGCGTCTGGGTGTTAAAGGGATTGCAGTCGGTAGGTAATATGTTAACAATATTCGGGATTCATCCACAATAGCCTCCACAATTTTTACCAAACAGAAGATCGTAAAAATATTCTAAACTTAGTGTCTGTACTTACTGTCACCATACCGAAATCATATGCAAATTACTGGTACATCCGATAGGATCTATTATTTATAAATTGCATAAATCTGGTGAATGTATCCAGGACGATAAGAGTTCGCCCAGACGGAGGAATAGAGTCACAGGAGAAGCAACCCGTGAACCACCTACAGTACACCAATGAGAAAACAGGCCAACAAGCCGGCTTTATCGCGAGTCTACGCCAGAGGAAAAGGAGTTTCTCAACGGGCAATGAAGCCAAAATTTCTTCTCGCGGCGGCTAGGATTAACCCCCTCGGCGGGGGCGCGAGGGGTTGATAATCACCCGTAGGGAGCAGGTTGCACGGCCACCCTTTCCACAGAGCCGGATGGAACATATCAGAATGCGGTGTCGCAAGAAGCCACCCCGACATTGGGATGCTTATTGCGACAATTTGGCAAGGTTCTCGGCGATATTAGCGTTCCACCGTGTTCACCGGTTATTCTTACCCCCCAGCTGAAACGCACATCCCCGGGCAACCTCTTTTCAGTACGTTAGAAACTTAATAATATGCCGCAACACACGTACACAACGAAGAAGGGAGAAATGGTGGGCTACAAGGAGCGGCGTTGTTTCAAACGAAGAAATAAAAGAGTCCCAAGTAGATACTCGGAGGAGGACCCTGGTGTGTGCAACCGTCGAGATTTTATCAGTATTTTCTCGGGTCGAGACTCCCAAGACCAACCTAGAGAGTTCCAGTAATTATTGTTTGCTCGCGGGTGAAAAGGGCGAAATAGAGTCACCGGTTCGCGTCGTGCGTTATCGTTTCCGATTTGAATATTCGCGGTGTGTCCCTTGATATTTCGCTTGCGACATGGGGATTAAAATGTGGAAAAGTATACTTGGTAGAGTTTATTAAAGCTGTGCTCTGTACTGTTCACGTGAAATTGGACTGTACAAGAGGGAAAGACAATGGAACGATATTTAACAGTATCGATTGATATGAGGAGCGTGTATAAATGTTAAATCGAATATTAATGTGGCGCAAATTTTAGAGAATCCTACCGAGGCGGGTAGATTACTGTATTTAAAACTATATGATGCCATTTAAAAAAACGTATTGTTGCGTGGGCGCGGCATGACCTCCAATAAATAAAGGCAATCTTTGCACGAATTGCACGAAAGGTTAATTAATCGTAAATAGGTAGTACGGCCAAGAGAAGAACGATTCTAAAAGCAAGTGTCACACCAAGAATTGTCTTGGCGTGTTCACACAGAGAAGCAACCAGGTCGTAATCCAGAGTAATGCGTCCCATCCGTCAGTTGTTAAATTTTACAGTGGCGGAGCGGACAAACGGTCGGCGAGGATGGAGTTGCAAATCAGAAATTTGTCACGGCTAGGGTCGCTCTTTTAAACAAGTATCCCCACCCCCCAGTCGCAGCTTTAGAACTCGCGGGCATTCCGTCTGATAACGCTTTTAAATTTTCGTTAGCCGCCGGCCCCCTTAAACGACGTAAAGTAAGAAAAACGGTCCACACCCCCGTAGAAACACAGTCGACATCCTCCGACCCCATTCAGCAACTCGGTACATTTAAATTGGTCGTTTCCAACAAAAACTGTCAAAGATATTGTAAAAAAAAACAGACATTAAACAAAAACCAACAATTAGATTACCCCAGAATTGCATTTTCCTCTCCATCCATCCATCATCACTGTAGACCCAACTCTGTCCACGTTGAAAATCTTACGTTGCGTCAACATCAACGAACGGTAAAGCTGGGAAAGCTCTTTGCGTCCAGAAGCTGTCCAAGCCGTTTTAATTGGTCAAAGCGTTAACAAACCGTAATACGAGCACGGTTCGCGAACGACACACATTTCCCTTAGAATCTTCCACCGTATCCGTTCCATAGAATCCATAAAGTTCCGAAAGGACCGACTTTAAAAGATACTCAATTCCGTGTCAGACTTCGCAAAAATAAACCTCTGACGTGCGACGCTGTTTCCACTGCATCCTTTCGCGGGTTTTAGTCGGATATCCGGGGATTTCGTGATACGTCAGGTCATTGTCGTTTTTACTTCCCCACGTTCAGTTTTTACAATAGATCCCCGCGCCCATACAAATTCCCTCGCGTATAAGTTTCCCGCGCCTCTACGCTCCCTGGTTCTCGTTTCGTCGGAATCAATGTCAACATTAATGCGACGAAGGGACCCAATGCAATATGTATTTCGATACATAAATCATAAGCACCCGGTATTAAAACTGCGACGTGCCCAGCTAGTTTCTCTCGTATCGGGGGCCCCCGCCCGTTTCAAATCCATCGGGAAAAGGTTGAATCCTAATGTCGGATGAAAAGCGGCCGGGGGCCAACCAGCCAGTCTGTATTTTCGATCCGATGACCTTGCGCATAATGTTTCAGCTATCGATCCTTAATATCCGTATCGAGGGTACGCGCAAAACACGATATTGGAAGTCGACGATGGAAATTTCGGCCATTTTCAATGGAGGAAACACGATCTACGTGGAAAATCGGCTTCTTTTTTTTTCTTTTAAGAATTGTTGGACGAAGTAATGCATCACGTTTTTCCAACCTGGGGATTTTGGATGGCTTACAATCTCAAGTGGTGGACAATGTTTTTCAACCTTTGCTACCAATATGACAGTTCCAGACAAATTACTTCGTAAATTTTTGTCTCTTTCTTTGATGTTCCAGGTTTTATTTATTACTGTGTTATTTTATTTACTGTCCTAAAATTTCGAATAACATAAATAACTCCACTATCTCCATGTTTCTTTGTCATTAAATTAATGAGTATACTGTACACGATTCGATTGACGACGTTTCAATATCGTCTTATCACGATCGATCCCCTCTTCCGTGCAGTTGCAAATGTACAAACAGTATAGAACGACGGTACGCTGTTAAGCTGTAATCCGGCTCACCCCCCGAAATTTAGGATTCCGCGATTGATGTATACGATCGCGGCGGATTTCTGGCAAAGCTTCCTAGCAGCATGATGTGCAAATAATCCCGGCAGTCCTTGGCGTTCCGTCTTCCGCTGTCTGCTGCC